GATTTGTGGGAAGAAGAGGATGTCCCACCCACATCTACTCTGATAACGGCACCAACTTCCGAGGTGCCGACAACGAGTTGAAGTCCGCCCTGCAAGCATTAAGCCAGCAACAACTGGAGAATGAGTGTTCCAACAAGGGGATCACTTGGCATTGGAATCCGCCTTCCGCCCCACATTTCGGCGGAAGTTGGGAACGACTCGTCCGCTCCGTCAAGACTGCGCTGGAGAAAGTCCTCCTCCAGAAGAATTTGAAGGATGAGTCCCTCTATACATTCCTTGTCGAGGCGGAACACGTGGTCAACAGCCACCCCCTAACACATGTATCGATTGACCCCGACGATCCTGAAGCCCTCACGCCAAATCACTTTCTCCTCGGCCGCTCCAGCAACTTGCAGCCAGCGGGAGACTTCGGCCCCACGGACCTCACAAGCCACAAGCAGTGACGAACCACGCAAGAATTAGCCAATCTATTTTGGAGGAGATGGGTACACGAGTACCTCCCCACTCTCCTCCGGCGAGAAAAATGGGACCGCCAAACCACCCCAATTCAAGAAGGTGACGTCGTCGTCGATGTCAACGAGTTCCTCGATAGGAATCTGTGGCCACTGGGGATGGTGGTGAAGACCTTCCCCGGAAACGATAGAATCATCCGCGTGGTGGACCTGAAGATGTCAAACGGGAAGCAGTACCGACGCCCTGTCTCCAAACTGTGCCTCCTTGATGTGCGGGACAAGTCCGCCAAGCCCGACCCCATCTCGACTCCCTAAATGGATTGCGACGCTCGCAATGAGTGGGAGCATGTCGTCGAGAATTAGAATAATTTATCATTGAATATTTGGCCCATGATGATAATGGATTTTTGTGTGATTTTGTCATGATATGAAAATTGTATGGTTTAATATGAGGACTGAGACTGGGCCCGAGTAGGAAAATTTGAATGGGTGCCAGCCAGTCGCTCTTTAAAGAGTTTTTGTGCACATTTTGTCTTTCAACTTATATAATTTTTGACCTCTCTTCTCCTCCTCTTTTGATTAAATTATTTTCAAGGTGTTCTCATTCCATTGGTCAAGAGGAGGAGAGGAGGGTGGTATTTGTAAAAGTTAGCGTCTCCTTTTTGTGTAATAAGGACAGAAAATTTTAGTGTTGCTCCAATTGTCAAAGAATTATGTATCATCGTCTTTTCTAACACTCGTCACTCTTTTTAAATTTGTACTTCTCTCTCTAAATTTTGTAATAATTCGAATTTTGTGACAAATAAATAACCATTAAGTGACCGTTTCGCGACCACCACGCCAGATTATTACACGGTCACACCACACCACCGTCAGTCATCATCGTCACACACACATATAAAAATACAGTCCTCACGCCCAAACCATTACAGGAGAATAAAAATAAATTCCAGGAAGATTGGGAAAATAGGGAATTTATAAATTCCCAAAATTCCCAAGGAGTGGGAATCTCTACGTTGCATACGGCTTCTACTTTTCATGCAATTTCTCATTTTGCATGAGCGTCGTAATGGTCTATGAAATTGTTCTTACGACCTTTCCACGTGACCTAGAACACCCATCTTCGAACCTGTCCATTCTCGTCGAATTGAAAGAAAAAGCAAATTCGAAAAGGTTGGACCGTTCGAAAGTTATCAGACACGAATACCATTACCATAAAGTGGTTCACCTCATAGCAAACGAGCATAAATTAACTGTGTTTTTAGCAGAGAAAAAGGTGACTATGCTTTATGAACGGTAAATATTAATGACCTCCTTAAATTACTTAAACTTGCCCGTTAAATACTAACCCGTAAGGATGGACTGAATGGCTGCATTAATATCCCATTTTTACCAAGCTAGGAACTGAATTAACCCCGTAGAAATTTACCCGTAAAAATATTTATAATAAATGTCGTTTTTTTGCGGTACCCCAAATGCATACTTAGTGAATTTTTTTGTTACTAAGTATTTTACCTCACTAAGAAAAATGGATTTATTTAACACAATGACAACAACTAAGCTCATAAATCATAGAATTTTACATACTTAAACATTTTTTACATGAATTTGGGATATCGATATGCTTATTCATAGCTGCCAGGCCAATTATATGATTAAAAATATATTACTTCTTAAACGTAGTAAAAATACAAGTGGATTTAATCTAGTTCTCGGGATTGTAAATAACCTTCCACAACCTTTCTTTGCATTGGCGATAACTATCGAACTTTCTCCAAGAATTTCTTTCGTGAAGTTGTGGATATTGCTTGATATCTTCGTAACTCAGAGGCTTTTTTCCGTCAGGAGATGAAATAGTTGTTGCCTCTCTTTAACATGGCAGGGTTTCTTATATGTTATCAATTGATAAGCTTTCTTCATTAAATTGAGAGTGACCATAGGATCAAGGTGAAATGGTTTAAAGTCAGGTGTGTCAAGGTTTATGTCAAATGACCAGTCCTTTAGTAGATTACATATGCAATCTATAAATTGGGATAGAGAAAGTCGTTTGGGAGAGCCCTTTGTTCTTTTATTAGATTATTAATTGATTCGAGTCCATTATTTGTAGCTTGATTATCTGCAGAGACACCTTCATACCAGCCACACCTTTAATCCACATATTCTTCACGAAGGTAGTGCACAAACTCCGAAGTATCCTCTTCATTCGCTCATTTTGTTGTCCATAATCGCATTCAAATTCATGAGGGGACATTGAAAGCTGAGAAAGAGATAAGTCGTCAATTATTTCTTTTTGGAATTCATCAGAGGCGATAGTTTTAATCCGATCCTTCACGTTTTTTATCACGTGAAACCAGCAGTAGACTCTAACAAAATTGGGTCCAAATGCAGCTTCAAATCCATTGATAATTGCCTCGGCAGAATCAGCTATGAGCACCTTAGGTTTGTATTCATCTTTAATCCCTGACTTAAAAATTTTTAAAAGTGTCTAATAGTCCATACATGTCTCACCAGTGGCGACAGTAATTCTAGTAGGATGAAAATTTTTATCAGACACGCCGACAAAAATTACGGGAAAGTCCTCCCACATTATTGTAGGGTATTTGGCTATCACTGATAGTTCAACAGGTTTAAGGATTCCTACGGGTCCTTTCAGTTACATTAGGAAGAATTATGGGATAAATAATGCAGCCATTCAGTCCATCCTTATGGGTTAGTATTTAACGGGTACGTTTCAGTAATATACGGAGGTCATTAATTGTCACCCCTTTATGAAGCACATGCCAACCAAAAATTATTTTAGACCTCAAATTGCATTAATCAAGTACTTAAATTTCTTGGATTAGTTAATATAGTATAATTCTTTATAGAAGACAATAGTTATGACATTTGTTAATACTAGCTTGGTAGAAAATGAAATTTCTTCTTACTTTCTTCATAGATTTAACCTCCTACTAATTCACAATCCCTCAAAATAGTGATTATTTATATTCAACGTAGAACCATAATTCTGTTCGTCAGGCTTGGACTTTGCATTGCGGGCCAAGAACTGCGCATATGTGTCGTGTCAATTCAATATGGAATGAATTAGCAAATCCCGTGATGCTGCCTGATTCAGAGGACATTTACTGTAGATAAGGTTAAAGTTAAGCCATACAATTTTGCGAAAGCAGGCGGAATTGAGAAATGTCATCATTACCATAATCATTTAATACAAATCCAACACATCGCATTTAAATATGTCTCACACATGTTACATCACACCAGGAAGATGGGAGGTGCTCTTCTAAAAATTATACATGACTAGTAATTGGATTTGCCGCTGTCTTCTTAGGGCTCCATTCATTCATTCCCTCATCGTGTCAGGAAGAGATATAAAGTCTCAATCATAATGAAGGGGTTTCGCTACCCTACACACAATGCGAAGGCACCAAATGATAAGGCCAGATAGCATTGTTTTCATACCAAAAAAATATGCATAACCGGGTTCCCAGTGCGCGCTCAGTGTGTGTACTTTAAACTTTTTTCTTATCATTATCTTGAAATTGTATGACTATGTAGACCGGATCGATTGCTAAATATCTGATTAATGTGAAAGAAGTGGGAGACCAAAGAAGTTTGAATAAAACTCGTAACCAGTGGCTTATCTTAAAACTCGATATTACTTTTGGCCTAGTTTGAAGAGTTATGCTGCCGACGGACATACCGGTTCATAAGCCCTCATTTTCCTGAAATTTTTACAATTGCTTTTCATTGAAGATTTAATTAACAGACAATTTGGTGAGATAAGATCAGGTCAAGGTCGATGAGGCGAGGTGGACTCACCCTGTCACTTACAATACAATACATTAGAAACACATTTCATGTGAGATCAGTGAGATGGGGTAAGATGAGACGAGATGAGTTAAAATTTTGACCATCTCATTTACCTCGAATCTCATCTCAGTTAAGTATTTAGTAGTGAGATGAGATAGGGTTATCTCATCTCGCCTCGCCGCATTGGCAACATTAAATTGAAACATTCACAATTGCATGCTTCAAGATTCTCATAATGTAAATACATATTTCCATATAAAACATATTTACATATCATGCAAATGCATGCATAAATGGAGGCAGGTGTGCATTTAATTAGCCAGTCTTTCAACCTTTACTAGGAATTTAGTTTTATTTCCTAGTAGAGTACCATAGATTGATGAAATACTTGAAAATTGGGATTGAAACTATTAAAATAGCGGTGTTATTAAGAATTTGTAAGAGCCAATATTTATTTACATATATTTGAAATAAAGGAGGATAGGATCAGTGTGTAAACTGCTCTCGACTGGATACCAGGAGTTTCATGTACACTGACACACATTGTAAATAACGATATCCCTAAATCCAATCGCTAATTGTAAAGTAACCGCGACAATGTACAATATTGGTCTGCATATTAAAAATATGCGATTGTGATAACGATTTGTTGGACAAATCACAATTCAAGTAAAATATAAAGCAAAAACTACGATAAAGAAGAAAATAAATATAATCTCATCCAATACATTGATCTATTGTAGATCTTGTTCCATTTATTTATTACGCTACCCAAGTAAGCATGACCTTTTACCTACATAACATTTATATATTTATCCAAGTAAAGTTTGACAATTTCTCCGATAGTTTCCACATTTTGTAGGAGTAATAATCATTTACCACAAGAGGCATTGCCGCCTCACGAACCCCATCCCCCAACTCAAATGGTCCCCCAGCCCCATAATATCCGCCTTCCTTAACTCTGTTTGAAGTTGCGGCAAACAAGTGCGGCCAGGCCCCCTGTTCGACGCTCTCCTTAAGAAAAACGGGGAATATAACCCTTTTCAAAAACCATTTTCTAAACTGACCTCCCCTCTCTCCAAATGTTTTGCTCATATTCGTCTTGACAAATCCAGGATGGGCAGACACGACTGTGAGGCCCCATCCGTTCTGAGTACTTCTTTTCTGAAGCTCACGAGTAAAGAGAAGGATTGCCAATTTTGCTTGAGAGTATGCATTATGGTGACTGTAGTCTTCGGATAAGTTGATATCATGAAACCTAATTTTTCCAAAGAGGGCTAACAAACTGGAAATGTTGACTACTCGTGGCGAATTGCTTTTTAGAAGGAACGGGAGGAGTTGTCCAGTTAGGACGAAGTGGGATAAGTAATTCGACATGAGTGTTATCTCATCTTCATTATCCATGGAGTTCAATTGTCTTGTTTCTGGGCCATAGATTCCTGCATTGTTGACTAAAATATCAAGAGTTCCGTTGAAAATATCTGTTGTAAATTTCTTAACGCTGGCAAACGAGAGGTGGTCAATGTGGACAAATTTAATGGTCTGATCTGTTTGATTAATTCTATTTTTGATATGTTGAACCGCTATTGTTCCTTGAGTTGAGTTTCGCCCACCCAAAAACACGTGAGCACCAGCCAGTGCCAGGACAAGCGCTGTTTGAAAACCGAGACCACTTGTTGCTCCAGTTATGAGGGCTGTTTTTCCTGATAGGGAAGGAATATCGTGTGGTGTCCAATCCAGAAGGAAGGACGACGGAAATGAGGAACTGTCCGTATTAAATATAAAAAACAGTAAATACTTATGTACGAAGAATATAAATATATATTTGAGGTATACAAATCCTCGACAATTAAGTGTTCGTCACTTATAAGTCATTTTTTTTAATGTCAATTAAAAGTGAGTTTTTTGGTTTTTTGACTTATAAGTGTTGGAAAAATATATCTCCAGGACTGACTTATTTTTCCACCACTTATAAGTCAAAAATCCTCAAAACCAACTTTTAATTGGCATTTAAAAAATGACTTATAAACGACGAGCACTTATGTTTGTAAACGTTTGTAAACCCCTATTCTTGAAATACAAGATTCCGATATCACCTCATCATTACGTTGATGATGAGTTGGACACAGCTGACGGACAGTGTTGCACTACTCTTTTTACAATACAACATATATCAATTTGGGATTTATGACGTCACCACATTAAACGAGTTTTTTTCCATCCATGTATTACTTTGATGAAATGCTGCTGCCTCTGTTATATCTTGTTGTTGTAGTAAATAGAGTCTGAAAAGAAATTACGTACATACATACATGGATACTGTTGATTCTCGTGAAGTGGTGATGTAAATCCTAGAAATATTAAGTTTGTGGGTATGTGTACATGGATTTGTAAACTACTTAGTATGTGATTGAATGGAGTAGGGAATGAGAAATTGCTTGTAAATGTAACAACGATTATGTATTTTATCATTTTTTGTAGCTTATTTAGTGCTTGAGGCACATTGAGAATTATATTTTATGTTTTCTCAATTTCTCTCTTAATGAGCAAATTTGCTCTCGGATGTCACTCTTGTGCAGAGCTGATAATTTAATATTATATTAATTGGGGTGGTTAATATAGTAAAGATTGTGTGGCTTTATATACCCCTCACCGTCGGATCGAAAACGAGTGGCAAAAAAGCCCTCCAAAATTAGATGCATAATTATAAAAACTAAAAACTACTCAAAATTCCGAGAATTTCAGTGCAAGATGCAAACAGGCAAATGCTCATTTTCATTAAGTGCATGCGTATGTATGCATAGCTGGAGTAGGAGAGAGTCATACGATGAGCCATGAATAAATAGATAGCTAGAGTTAGCGCTCGCAGCGCTAAACATGATAAAGTCAAATTTTGAGCACGCATCCATGCTCGCTCATTAAGGGACAGTTTCTCCACATTGCTCTCAGCTGAATTAGTCGTCATCAGGGCTTTCTAATTAATTAGTCAAACTAATTAATTAGCTAATTTATTGGCATTTTTTAACTAATTATAAATTAAAGTTAATTAGTACCACCACAACTAATTATAATTGCTAATTAATTAGTTCGAAAATTAGAAATTAAATCACTAATTACTAATTAATTAGTTGCGGAAAAAAACTAATTACTAATTAATTTTCCTTCATTAAAAAAAACTTTATTGATTCGACTACCACAACACGTACAATTTGAATTTTACTGTGAGAGTCGAAGAGAGCGGACAGTGTGGTAGATTGGCTTGTTATACCTTGTGGATCATGTCCGCCTTGCGGCATTCAGTCCGCAAGATTTATAACACACGGAGGAGAGAGAGAGATATGAGATGGGGATTCAACCTGACTCGAATATGAGATCAGGTGAATCCCGTAACAAACATACACCATCCTAGAATAACCAATCATTCTTCTGTACCAACATGATCTAGCAAAGCTTCTTCCGTCAATTTTAAGTTTCAGCTTTTCAATATTTCCCCCATAATCCAAATACTATGGTTAACTACATATAGCGGATTGACGGTCGACATCGTTTATGGTTAGAACTATGTAGGGTAACATATCCCATTCGAACCTCGGATTTCAGGAGTAGGTCCCAGACCCTAACAACGATATATATTCTTGATCCTTGAACCGAGACCTTTCCAACGATATATCACTTGATATGGGTCATAAGGGAAAGACGCCATGAGCTTCCTCGTGACCTGGAGGTCAAACTAAGGTTTACTGTAACAAAGTGATATATATGCGATATTGTTTTCCATGTCGACGACCTGAACAATTTGATGTATCACACGACCCAATACCGAAAATATGTACATTATTCTAATTGGGTTGGGCGTCCCTAGGGGTGCTAAGTGTGGGAAAGCCCCCTACTTTAACCAAATTGCTCTATCTATTTATTCATGGCTCATCGTGTGGGAGAGAGTAGGAGAGAAACTGCTGCCCGTACTCACTTTACCACCACTAACCATGCATAATACATGGCTTTGCTCATGCAACCAGGATATTGTAGAAAATGTGAAGCCATATTAATGTCAACTATGTACGAATACCTAGTGAGTTTCCTACTCCTCTCTTTTTACTATTAGTCACTAGCTATTGCAAATTTATCAATATAACAAATTTATTAACCCATATTTATTTAAAAGGAGTTGCCTTGTTTCATGTTTACGATAATTACGCAACACTCTTGGCGGGATTTCATTTTACAATTTCATTATGGGAAGTAATCACTTAGGGATATAGTGAGAGAAGATGGTTCACTAGGAGGATATGGTGGTGGGGGTGGAATACTCAATATTTTTGCCTGGATTGAATTTGCATCAAAAGTAAGGGGGGTGTGGTTCCAAAAATGTGTGAAATAGATTCTCCTCATCCAGTGGAGTACAGGGATATTTTTTTCGTCGCTGTAGGACAAACATTGACTGAGAAATCGAAGGTCAAATTTCAAAAACCACCGAAACCAGTGTACTTTAGGGTTACAGGATAAATGTTGGGTCATTTATGAATTGGGTCAGCTTTTTATTACTGATTATTGAAGACCCTATTTAGCTCTGTCAAATAAACCTACTGGCGTATTTTAGGGGTGAGAACAAAATCTGCAATTGATTTTTGAAAATTGAAATTGTCATGCAGGACTTTGAAAATTTTTAACTAAAAAAATCGAATTTCGTTTAAAAAATATATTTTCGGCCGAGTTGGTTAAATAACGGGAAAAATTAAAAAAATCGCTAATATTTAGCTTTATCGATATCAGTGATCAAATTATTTTGCAAATTAATTATATGTATTTAAAATTTAAAGAGTTATTCATTTGATTTTATCCTGAAGTCCAAATAATCTGAAAAGATTCTACAACAAACACATGTGTTCACAACTATTAATCGAAATATTGATCAATCCACTTCATGCGTTAGCATTCGTGTGATCATGCAGTTTTCCACCAGAGCAGAAATACATTAAGAACCCTACCTAGTAATTCAGCGACAGAGAGACATGCTCTATCCTTGTTAGCTAGGTTAATCATGATAATAAGGTCTATGTATTGTGGAAATACAGAAAGTGAAATACTCTGTTGCCACTTCAACGTACCCTCATATCGTGTTGTCAGATTCTGAAAGTGATGACAATTGCTCAGTATCTTATTGTTCTTCAGCATCGTCGGGAACTAGGAATACACTTATAAATCCCACCCCACCTGTTGTGGACGATGATAGTGACGAAATTATCACCCATTTTATTCGCGAAAATACGAAGATATCTGTCACCCCTTGATCTATTACTCTGCTGCTGTTCTAGTTTTGGTGTTGCACTTTGTGGATTACAAAGATTGGGTGCTAGTATATCAAAAATAAACCATCGAATGCCAAACCAATTGAAGCAGTGCTTGGGGAAACAGTTTAGGGAATACATTATAGCTCACATCGATAAAATCATAACAACAGATTGCTTGTTGAATCTTATAATAAACAACGAAACTTAATAAAATCACCTCAACGCCAGCGCATTGTAGAATGGAGATTGGTCTTATTTCCGATTTATCACGCATTCATAAAGTGAGACTAAGAACCGAGTAAGGAAGAAGTAGATCTATCGATTACGTAGATCTCCGAGACATGTTGAACCGTCAATATTTATTACGAAGAGTGACAGGTTCAGGTGAAAATCCGGGTACTCCATATATTCACCCCTCATCAAGCTTCCTCCACGTGAGGAAAATCCCCACCTAACAACCAAGGATGCGAATTTTATCCGAGCAGGTGCAGCAAGTAGGACAGACAATGCTAATAAAGAGTATTACTTGGTATCCGCTAAAGTTCTGAAACAACTGTTCATATGTAAATTAAACCGACAAAAAAATCTGGGAAAGTCGGGGTGTTTTGTATCGTAATCTACATGCGATTTACTATCCATATGGAAATTTTCATGTTTTTACGACAAAGGGTAACAAAATGGCCGATCTTCAAATACAGCGTGCTGCAATTATTTATCAACATATGCATGGAAAGAAAAATTCCGAGATTTAATACACGGGACTCAATGTTAAAAACTTGGAAATTTTTACGAAATTTTAGAAATTTTGAAAACATGTTTTTTGGAATCTACACATCATGATCGGTGCAAATATGCAAAAAAAGAATTTGTGTGGTGTACCAAAAAACTTTGAGTGAGTCCCGTTTGCAGCAGTCCAACACATCACAACAGCAATTTGTGCATCAGTAAGTGCACGTTTTGACATTGCACAGCTTTGAATAAGGAATAGCTTCACCCTTAGGAGCGCTGCCTGTGCTAAAATTTTCGAGAGAAAAGAAAATAACAATAAAAATGGTAATGTGAAAAATTGTCAACGAATCACTAAAATCCTCGCCTTAAATTGAGGTCAACCGCTTTTGTTTGTATTATTTCGCCCCTATTTTTAGTTTCTTCCACTTTCTTCCATATCTTCCATTTCTTCCATTGCTTCCACTTTCTTCCAGTGGCCCGGAAGAAACACCCAAAAGGTGGAAGAAGCGAAACCTTGTCTATGATGATGTGACTTCCTGACGTTTCTAATTTTATCTACAGTTCCTCAACTCATAGAGCACACAACATGCTATTTTTGAAAATTTAATATTCATTAGTGACGAAGATCTATTCACCTGAAACGTGCAAAGACGCCAACTTTTTTTCGCGTACCGCGTGGAGATTAGGTTTGGGTTTGCGACCCCTGCTTTTTTGCAACATTTTCAACACATACGACCTTGCACATTTCGAGGCCTACATATTTTGGCGTGAGTTGGGCTTTTGCCATAATCTATTTCGAAAAATTCGTTTCTGTAGCTCATTTTCCCTGTGGTTGTAGTCGATTGGTTCAAACTCTGACTTGAAAAGATTGAGGCCCCATGGGGCCCTCTATGAATTTCGACATCCAGTATATCGATTTTTTTAGTTGATGGGGTGTCAAAGAATGTTTTCATTACTGGTGGAACACTCGCAAAATTTTTCTGATTACTAGTTTATGACCTCCAAAAATGCGAAGCTAAGAAACTTGCGGTATTCTGTTTGTCGAAAGGAAAATGGACGTTAAAAACATAAAATTCTTGATTAAAATAGTCAATTTTGATCAAATGAAATTTCCCAGGGATTAAAATTCTATCGCAGAAGACATTAAAAATATCTCTGACAAGAAAAATCGTACCGCTACCGAGTGTGACTGAGTGATTATAAAAGGTCTTGTACTTGGAAAATACTAGCGAATCATGTCTTACCGGATCTATATTAGTCTCTTGTAAACAAATTATTGAAGGTCTAAACTTAAAAATTAGAGAATTTAGTGCATTCCTTTTTATGGAATTATTCAACCCTTGGCAATTTAGTGTTCAAATGTTGAAACTCATTAAAAAAGATATATTTTCGGAAGAACATTTGGACAATTAAGCATCAAAATAAAAGAAGCTTAAATGTTTTTGTATATCAGCGTCCGAAATACCGGATGCTTTTTGATAAAATGCTAGCTCAGTTTTTCTAAAATTTAGGTCAATCTTAGCACAAATATCCCTTGCTTCGGTATCAGTAAGATCAAGGACCCTTTCTGCCTCCGAAATAACTTCGGATAATTCAGACTTAATTTTTTCGTGCACCTTGGAGTTGAGGGAAGCATGGACCTGGAGCATAATGCCAATTAAACCCTTTGGACTTTTTCCTCTAGTGGCCATGAGGACCTGTTTAGAAAAATTAACGTAATGGTTGTTTTTAGCTCCACCCCTTCTTAGACAAATGAGAAACGCATGAAGTCGTTCTTTTGCAATCTCATGAGAGGAATCGAAAGTTCCCATATTCCAAACGTTAAAGCCCCAACGATCTTCCCTAACTGGTGATGCAAGGGGACTATGATGCGCAGTTTTTTGAGAGTTACGTTTGAAACGCTTTCCTCTTGGGATAAATAAGCTGTCTTCAGATTGTGCGGCATCTGAATCTGAGGCAAGACATTCTTGTCGTGCCATTTTGTTTCTTTCCCGGATATCAGTGTCAGAATGAGCCAACTCGTTGGGAATTGATTTCCGCTTATTTATGGGATTTATTACTCTAAAAGGTGAAGGGAAAGTGGGTGCGACCTCCTCCAGATCAGAAGATATCATATCATGATTCTCCTGCTGACCTGAAGAGTATTCCCCATTTCCTGTGATAGTCTCACTGTTTCCATTTGGAATAATGGGAGGAGCTATGGGAGCAGAGTGTTGTTTTTTAGGTTGGTCACCCTGACCCGTAGTATTTTTCACGTCGTTTTTGCAATCTTTATTTACGTGACCAGGTTTCCTACCTGGACCGCTAACACATAATCGACCCCATCGCACGAAACCTTTAGCTTTGGGGGGATAATTACATTCGCTTTAATGGATACTTCAATGAATTTAACGAAACTTTTTATATGCTAGAATTCCTCCTCAAGACCATAAATATTTTGTCTAATTACAGCAGGACGTACCTCGCCGTATTTCTCAAGCGCCTTGATGATTGAATCATCATTAATGAAGGGCGGTACATTTCGCAGTACTACTTTTCTAATAGGATTTGCATATCGGTAGATTTTAGTGGTTTCTGACCCCACCTGCAGGGTCCATCTGCCGACATCTCGGAGTCTAACCAAATACCATAATTAGCAGCTCCCAAATAATCAGCGTACTAAATTTTAGATGGTTGTATTACCTTTGCCAAGGCACTTAAAATTTCCTTCAAGCTAACCTCTCTGATTCGCCTAATAAGGACCCCATTGGTCTTCATGGGGGCCATCCCATCTTGGATTCCAGCACCCGCAACGATGTTATATGCGGTGGGAGGGGTTTCCGTGCACAAGTCCACGATATTTCCTTCCCCCACCATTAAGGCGGGTCTCAAGGTTGTGCTTTCACCACAAAGGATAATTCCAGCTGGAGTGATTTATTTAAAAAAAACTAATTAAACTGACACTTGACTTAAGGTGGATTTCTACCGGCGTGAGTCGTGATCGACCTACAGCGGAAAGTGTCCGACGGCGTAAACTTACATTTTCCGCCTGAAGTCGTTTCCACCAGTGCGCTAACTTGGGCAGATCGACCGCTGACGGAAGCGGAAGATTTGCCGACAAACACTCCGCAGCGCATGGCGGACGAGTGGAAATGCTACTAACTTTTGTAAAATTAATCACAAAAAGGAAACGTAGATTTATGGTTTAGATGCATAAATATATTTAAAAAGTTAACAAAGCAAGTAAATTCTACTGTGCAAAGAACAAAATAACTTAATTCGAGCACTTTATCAATGATTTATTTTTAGTCTTCAATTTTTATTATAATACGTGTTAAAGAAACATTGACGTAAACTAATTATTAAATAATAATTTTGAGATTTTACATTGGATTGCATTATTTTATTCAGGGCGCCCTGATTTCTGATACCGAAATTTCCGTTCCAACTTCTTCTTGCGAGCTTCGTCTGTCAGGGGATGATTCATTTCATGCATTCGTTTAGCGATATCATGCAGGGCCTTGTTCAAACTTTTTCCACAATCTGGGCGGTGATGAAACGGATGTGCACAATTCCAGCATCCGTCATCAAAGAAGTAGAAGGCAAAGGCAAGTTGGACTTCCTCCCTACCCAGCTTGACATTCAATGATTCTTCGTAAAAGGAAACCACCTCTCCTGCCGGGCGCCCGGGTAACCGCATTTGAAAGGAATATCTTCCTGCAGCTTCAAATTTCTCATAGGTTGTCTTGCCTTGATTTCTATAAAAAAACGGAAATTTTTCTTCATTTTCAAATGGCACTTTCAAAAGCACTTTCACAATTAAAACATTTGGAGTCGTCAAATTTTTTATTTCTGGAAATTCTGCTGCCGCCTGCCCCAATTTTGAGTGCATCCAATTCTGCACTTAACTCTTTAATTTGATCTTCAAGAAGTCGATTCTTCTCCAACAAATTGACGGCGCCGTCTTGCAATTCCTGGAGTATCTGTAGTTTAAGCTCCACAAGTCGCTGAGCCCTAGCTTCCGGCTCCAGGTCCACAATTTTAAAACATTGAGATCGACTCCAGTTGAGATCCAGCTCAACACACCGCTCGAGCGGCCAAATGAGTTGTGTTGGTGGCGTTTTCAGCCCATTAGGCATTCGATGTTGAATTTTTTTGAGCAGATCCGGAAATACGATTCCCGGTTCCAGCACTTTAGCCCGCTTTTGAGAAATATTCCCAAAGAATCCCAAACGTTGGCGAGCTTCCACCCCCATTGCATCACTTTCCCCCCACAAGACCGGTTGAATATCTCGCTTGGCAAGTTCTTTGGCATGGACTGAATAATTCCTGTCAAGAATTTCTAGCGCTTTCTCCAGTGTTTGTTCCCAGATCGACTTGACGATCTCGTCGTAGCGGTCTTCCCCCACAGAATAGGCAAGCCCTTGACTGTATGTGTAAGGTGGAATTGGCAAAGAGAGTTTCCTGCTCTGTTCATGTACCTCCTTCCAATCTCCAAGTTTGTCAGAACCTGCGCAGTAATACCACATTGCTAGCTTCAGGAACAATATGCATTGCAAATGAATGAATTAAATGCCTATATTTAATACCAGGATCAATTGGTGACCCCCCATACCACACCATCCCATCCTTAAGGTTCCAGGAGAGACAGCAAAATTCTGCAGGGGCAGTATTCTGTCCTGGAGTGGCACAATAGTCGTTAAAATGGACGTAAGCAAACGTCAGCTCAAGAAAGTTGTCAAAATCCAGCACGGCAGCAAAATAGTCTCGAATTTTTGCAAATGCATCATCCTGGTCGTGAAAACTCATTTGGCTTAATCGACCAATCGGGAAGTTTTGTCCGTCTAATGTAAATTAAAACACATAACTTAACACATATTCATAATTAAAGCACACAATACTTCATACTCATTAGATTTGAAAGGAAAATTGAGTAAATGCACAAATGATTACTTTTCCACACGGGGCACAGAATGTTTTAGAACTGGCATTTTCGGTGGTTCAAATAAGTGAAGAACAGAACTTGGCCCCGGCTCCTCTTCTTGGTGATCTTGTACATGTTCAGGAACTTTGACATTCCTCTTGAATTCTGAATTTGAACATTCCGTCGCTTCCCTCTTGACTTTCGCAGCGTTCTGTTTGAAGAGTGGGTTAGGAAGAACGAATGAGGATGGGCTCGATGTTGGTCGGGCAGGCAAAGTCGACGACGACGCGGGCAACTGTGAATCCATCCGTTCTGAACCTGATTGAGGGAGATGGCCATGTAGACGCACGGTTTCATCATTTCCAGATTGTAACATATCAGGAAATGATCCCAGTTCTTTCCATAATAATAATAGAAGTTGTTTTCTAAGATATAAAGTAAGAATGGGGCATCAAATAAAAATGCCTAATCAATTTTTATGATGAAAAACTATTCATACCATTGGATCAATGTTAAATTGCACTTCCGGTTTCACCCAGTCTCGTTTCTGTCCTGGTCCATTGCCGAATCCTTTACGAGGTCGTCCATGGAGGAACAGATTCCCTTCGCTCTTTTGAACAACGTAGGGAACTTTTTTGCCATGCACCCCTGGTCCTGGTGGAGATGGGTCCGATGTCGCGTTTGGTCGCGTCTGTGGCGACCTTGGTTCCTCCATCACCACCTCCTCCTCCTCTTGGTACACGGCATACTTGACCTGTTCGGCCTCAGTCATTCCCTAAAATCAGAAAGCGAATTATTTCGGTATCTCTGTTATGAAATTCGAAATAGCAAGAAGAACTACTTACACGCCATTCCTCGTCCAAAGCAAATGCGAGATCCTCCAATCCACCCGGAAAGGTCGTCCCTTGAGTGAAATGTGAGTATTGCAACCAATCCCGCTCAACCAAGTTCCCAGTGTGCTCCAAATTTACTACTAATAACAAAAATTTAAACTTGCAAAATTTAATTAGCAATGGATCCAATAATTATGTTGGCACTAGTCCGGCGCCGGAAAAAAAGAACTCATCGTTATTGGGTCCACCCCCTTAATTTACTTAGAGGTGTGTGGGGTGAACATTTAAAAATACTTGAAATGTATAAGAAGTACCCTGTGAAATTTCGTCAATACACAAGGATGACACCACCACAGTTTGACACAATATTGGGTATTGTTCGCGAAGACCTGCAGAAGCAGGACACAAACTATAGGGCGTCCATTCCCCCTGAATTCCGACTGTTTGTCACCCTTAGGTATGTTGGAGACTCGGCGCCGAGAATTAAATGTTAGCATATTTTGTAATAAGTGTATATATATTTTATAATCCATAATTTGCAGATATTTAGCCACAGGAGATAGCTTAGCAGGTATATCTACAAGCTATAGTATGGGTCATACCACGGTTTGGCGCATTGTTCGAGAGACTACACAGATTTTGTGGAATAGGCTCAGCCCTATATTTGTGAAGGTAAACTCATCTAATAAATTGTTGGAGGCTTTAATAATTGTTTCACGGGAACGGCTGCTTGTAGGCACCAACAAGTGAAGACTTTAACTTAATCGAAAGAGGATTCAGGGAGCTGTGGAATTTTCCAAATTGTGTTGGCGCAGTCGACGGGAAACACGTAGACATCGAAGCTCCATACAAATCTGAGTCGCAGTACTACAATTATAAGGGAAGATTTAGCATCGTATTGATGGCTTCTTGTGATGCTGACTACCGATTTACAACGGTTGACGTAGGCGCCTACGGGAGGCAAAGCGATGCGGGTGTATTTTCAATTTCAGCATTGGGTACCAGATTGGAATCAGGTAATTTTAAATTGATATACCGCGGCGCCGTAATATTCTGGAATTATGTTAATGGAAATGGTTGTTACAATAGGCCGGCTTGGAATTCCGGGACCCAAATTACTACCTAATTCTATAAAACAATTACCATGTGCATTCGTTGGAGATGAAGCGTTTCCATTAAAATGTTACATGATGAGGCCGTATCCAGGACGAGGGCTAACTGAAGTGCGCAGAATATTTAACTACGTCTTTCAAGGGCTCGTAGAATTATTGAAAATGCGTTCGGGGTGATGTCGAAGCGCTTCCGAATATTCCGACGACCCATTGTTGCCCAGCCACAGCACGTGGAAAGTATCATCAAAGGTAAATTCGACAATTTATATACAGTATGTCTGCTTAAAATAATTATCTATTGTTGTCATTGTACAGCTTGCATTGCACTACACAACTTTTTGCGGACTCAAGATCTCTCGGCGCCGAGCTTAGACCCGTACTGCCCTGCAGGATTTGTGGATACTGGGGACGAAGACAACGGCGAATGGAGACAAGAGGAACACTCATTGGCGCTTAGAAACCTTACAAGATTGAGTTCTAATATGCACAGCGCTGCAGCAAGAGAGATGAGAGATAGTTTTGCGGAATACTTCGTGAATGAAGGGGCAGTAGAATGGCGACGAAACCTTATTGGATTGGATTAAATAGAACTAATATTTATTAATTAATCGATGTCATAGAATTTATGCCGCATTAACGATTTCAAGTTAGATAACAACTGTAATCATCAATTTAATCAATAAAATCAGGTCGTCCCGGCGCCGGTGTTGCATTATGTGGAAATTCAACCTCGTACATCACTTGTTGAATCTTGATTTTTGCGAAGGATGCCTGAGCTGGTGTCATCTTTCTTAGATCATCCGCTAGAGCCATGCAAAAATGGTGGTTCGAATCTTTCACAACCTGCTTTTCTAAATATCCCAATAAAGCCGCATCAACTTTTTCTGACATTTTTATTTTCTTTGGTGAGGTCTCGGCTTTGCTGCAGTCATCCTTGTCTGCATCTGCGCCACAAGAATTGTCATGTCTATCGGTAGTGTCCTCCGGCGCCGGAGTCTTTTCCAAATTACCAGAACATCTGCGAATTAAATGCAGCAATGCAGCAAAAATTAGTTAATATAATTTATTAATATATATTTAGTGGGTGTAAACATACTCGGTATTTGCAATAACGAACGGCTTTAGAAAGTTGAGCATTTCTAAAAACTCCCACTGTTTTTCTTTCTTTCCGGACTTTCCCGATTTTCCCTTTCTCTTTTTAATGACTTTATTAAAATTATCTCGCAAATATTTCCACTTTTTCTTGCACTCAGAAACTACAAAAACGCGAAATTTCATAGATTAATATGAATTATCGTGGCGCCACAGGGTCATGGTAAAGCTTACCATCCTTCCCTACAGCGTTGGAGACGTTCAACCAAACGAGTTCTTTCCTCCCAGTGTTCTTGTTATCCTTTGACTTAACATCGTACAAAATTGGGTTTGAGCGCACTGTCTCTACAAGTAACTCGACATCTTCGTTACTCCAACTATTCTCACGGGCGTCCGGTATCTCCTCCCCCATTACTTTATTTTCATCCCCTCCCATATCCACACTTTCTCCCTCAATCTCACTAACACTCGACATTTTAGTTTTATTTAAATACTCAAATTTTATAAAATGTGTGTTTAATTGCATGTAAATAATAAGAAGTGATTTTATGTGCGACTTCATATGTTCCGCTGAAGGAGATGAGAATTTGTCATAGATTTTGGCCAGCGGACGAAAAAAAGTTGAACCAAGTTCAACTCACCAACTCACTGTTTTTTCGTGAGCGCGGATCGTTTGCGCTGAGATGAGTCGGTTGGTGGAAATGCGATGAAAAAATCCGCTCCACTCGACTCACTCTCCGCCGCGTAGAGCGGATTTTGTCTGCTTTGGTGGAAATGACTCGTCGGACATTTTCCGCTGTAGGTCGCTCACAACTCACGCCGGTGGAAATCCACCTTTAAGTGAAACTAGCTGATTGATGTAGAGAATACTCTAAGCTATAGGTGTGACTATTTTCGCGAATTAAATTCCACCGTAAAGGTACAAAATTTTAAAATATGTACAGAGAGAAAATTAAATACACCTTGAGCCTTCGAGTTCGCGCTTTTTTTGGCTTATTCTCATCCTGGGTTAGAAATGGCCAGCTATGCCAACTGTATTATAGCATGATATTCAAACCATGTAATTTTTATTTCTCTCTCTGCTCCTTCTAAAGTCCCTGTTTCTCTTAAATATTTTTTCTTGTTATTCAAATATTTCAGTTGCATAAATGTTGCCATGTTCCTTATTAGAGAGGTAGAGAAATCTGTATTGTAAAGTAGTTGGATTCTATAGTTGTATTCTAGTGAGAATATTTGCAATGTCGGCGAGAGAGGTAGAGATTTGATTGTACGATCGTATATGTATGCTGAACTTCATTTTGTACCGCAAATAACTGAGAGCCTCAATTTAACAACGCGCGAATTTTAAATCTAGAGGAGAGTTGAGTTCCGAGTAGGGTCCGATTTTGTCGGTCTGTACTCTATTGTAGAGGCGATGACTCACCTCTTCAGTGGAATTTAGAATCGAAATCGACTAGAATACAGCAATCTCTACCTCTCTATTGACAATCCCAATTACCTGTTAAAAATAAAGATCGTATTTATGCAACCACTTAACACACCTGACTCTGGTTCAATTAAGAATAACGCGTACATAAGTACTAATGCTATCATTGATACAAGTACAAATTGTACCATCCCAGAAGAGAATTATTGATTTTTTTTGTTTTGTAATAATGTATTTCATAATTATGACCGAATTCCAGTGTATTAAATATTTCAATAAAAATGCTACTAAAAATAACATGGGGGAAGTGGAAGCGAGGATCATTGACATCAGAGGAAGGAATGCATTTTTTATATGAAAGTATTTTCAAGTTCAACTGTTAGTTTAACCTCTTTCGAACTAGTGATTTTTATTTAAAAAAATCGTTGAGTACTATGTTGCATTCGCAATTACCACACCGTAACAACGACTAATTTTTTTTTTAATTTCCCTAAACTACGGAGTGTTTTTTGAAAAAACTCACCAGTATTTAATTTCCGAGTTTTTCATGAAAAACTCGAATAATCCACTTGTTAACATTGGTTGATATAGGGAAAATTCCAAAATTTGTCAGGAAAAAGTTCTAAAAAATGAACATTTTACCATTGAGAGTTTCCAAAAAATACAACAGAAAAATTTCAAAATTGAGATTTTGTGAGTTTTTTGATGTCAAGATAATTTTTGCGGTACACAAATATGTGTATTTCGTTCTTAAATGAAAAACAAGCACTATACACATTTGTGTATCTCGTCCCCAAGGGAAAGCAAAATAATACACAAATGTGCGTACTTCGTCCTTAATAGTTACCTAAACAATATTTAGATTCATCAATTTAAGCATCACGCGATCCAAACATAGCATGAACTAATTGGCAAGATGTAATAAAGATATATAAAAAACTGAAAGTCTGGAGATCAAGTTATGTGCGTTTTAGCAACATAAGGAATCATTGCGGACGGCAGGAAATGGTAGATCGTAAGTATATGTGGACACACTTTCTCATCCAATCGCCTTGTCACGGACGTCACAAAACATAAATATTCACGATTTCTTTTCCAGACATTAAATTCAACTGTATTACGGTTCACGGATTACAACTAAAGTGTCAATTAATCATGCCAGATATATGCTTCTTCATCACTAATCCACGTTTGCCTTGTAACCCCCAGAAATCAAGGAAATGAAAAAATGACACCCTTCTGACATCACCATCCTTATCAAGTTTCATATATAGAAGTGCATCCTTTAGAATGTTAAATAAATGGTTCAACACATCCAATAATTTACCCAGTGTGCAGTTACTGGGTAAATATGGTTCGAGTCTGGTTCAACAATCTTGCCTGGACTGCAACTGCCGTGGTGCAAACTACGTCGTGATTATTCAACGTGGTTATGGAATTAGTGTTGTCCATGTACAATTTGGATGATTTAAAGTTGAACATGGCACTTTAATTGATTTATATTTTTATCTCGATTTAACTTGAATATTTTATCAATTGATTGGAAGACAATTATAAATCAGCCTATGCGCAGCCAACTTCAATTCATCCAATTTGCACATGGTCAACACTAATTGAATAACCATGTTGAATAATCACGTACTTTGCACCGCGGCAACCTGACCATGTTCCTATCCAGACAAGATTGTTGCCATATGAACCAGATTCGACCTCAATTTCAATCATTGCCGTCTTCCCCCCTTGACTGTTAACATTGAAATTTTTCGTCCTCATTGTGACACCTTTTTTAAACCATGTCGCTTAAAAAACTACTGGCTGTGGCGCTCATTCTCCAATTTTTCCTCCCGTCCTCCTACTCTCAACTAGTCGCTGTAGAATGTCAAGCTTTCTTCCCCTCCGGGGGGAGATACGGCAACATCGGAATTTACGACGGCTCTGATTCGATCTACATAGCCGGTGCGATACCGTACAGTCTTGGCTACGACATATTCAAGTACTCGATTGCGTCGGATGAGATCAAAGTTGTCAAACAACTTCCCTCAAACCGAGCTTTTCTAACAATGTCAATCGACACCTCTGGAAGCATTTACTTTCACGGGGGCATGGTAAACAGCCAATATGGGACCAACAATATCTACAAATTCATCCCCGGAAATATTAACCCCGTCCGAGCAATTGGAGTCATCCCGTGGGACAATTACGGGTCAATCGCATTTCCAAAATGGGATGACCCAAATTTAATTTACATCATGGGTGGAGCACTTTATCCCGAAGTGATTGTTGCCTTTAACCAAACTAACTCAACTTCTGAACGAGTTGGACTTCTACCTTCGGAGTATAGGTTGCAGACCGGAGTATCGGATGGGGCTGGGAGTGTATATTTATTCGTAGTGGGGGAAGGAACCACATCAGTTCTCAAGTTTAATATGACTTCGCTACAAATTGAGGAACAAGTTTCAATCATGGAAGGATTTTCATTTACTGGTTTGCAATTTTTTTATTTTCATAATTTACTAATAAATTTACGGTTTGCGTAATAATTTATACAATTTGCAAAAAATAGGAACCCCGTCTTCAATCTGGGATGGAAAGCAAGCATGGATTATTGGAGGTTATGGCAACTGGACGACGGGACCCCGACCCGATGCAATCCTTAAATTCGATCCAGTAACAATGCAAAGTGAAATGGTTGGGGTTGAAGGTTTTCCTGCAAGTGAGGAAAATAAGACATATCTCTCAGTTACGAATGCCATCTGGGTTGAGGGTATGAAGAGGATCTACTTTTTTGGAGGGTACACCCGCGACACTCCAGGAGGCGATCAGACACTTCATGATAAAATTTGGTATATTCAGCTACCCTGAAAAGAGTGCCCAGACAGTTAGATTTAGTGAAATCGTAAATTTGGAATTGAATACATAAACAAAATTAAATACGAATTATTCCAAGCGTTGTCGTTATAAATAAGCAAACCATTGTGTTAGTCTAAAACAGGCATAACTAAAAATAAAGATATTGCACGAATCAGCATGTTGCTCCGTAAATAAACGGCAATACCTACATCCTCATTTCCTCAAAACATACATTATTACTAAAGTAAAAAAATACGAAAAATAACACTGCTTTAAATCACCAAAATAAAGGTAATATCATTACAGAAAAAGTTGAAAGATTAATAAATTACGGGTATAAACCCCCTATCTGCAATTGAGCCATTCTAAGATTACTATCTTACGGACAACCTTTACTTTAAAGGTTGTCCGTTCGCAGATTAAGTAGGATGTAAAGTCTGTTTATTTTAATAATAGAAATCTTGTCATTTTGGACATCTCCAGATTCACACCTTTCTTGAACTGTTCTCTTCAATTTTGTATTTTTTGTTTTTTGCTTACTAATAAATTTGGGGGAATTTCAGCCCATCATTTCCATAATTTAAATATTACAAAATCATTATTAGCTTAGATCAAGTATCCACTGCCACACTAAAAAATGCCCACATACTAAAAGGACAGTGGTAGAAATTAAAAAGTTTGTAAGTCAAGGTTGCGTAATCAACCAACATGGACTTATGTTTTTAGTTTTTAAATAAAATAAAATCAAATCAAATAATTTCTAAAATTAAAATAACCTATGGCGTTGAAAATGAGAAGTTTCAAAATCAATTATAAAGAAAAATAGGGAAGGATGCCATTTTACATATTTGTCTCGTGGGGAGGTCTTTGTTTTTGTGTCGTTGGAGTTCAAACTAAACACCGCCCACACCCACTGCCCGGTCGACAACGTTTTACAGAAGATTTGTTTTAAAATTAAAAGAATTAATTAATTATTTTGGTATAATAAAGAATAGAGTTTAATTTTAAGATATTTCATGCTATGCAACTCAAGTCCATTGTTGCTGAAAGCATAATATCCTGGCTTCCTAAAAGAGTATCTGTTTAGATTGAATGTTAAAATTCAAACTTATAAAAAGTTTGAATAAAGATTTGATGGTCAATTATTTTAAAAAGTTTAAATTTAGTCCATTTCCTATGGAATTCTTCTAAAGAGGCCTGACCCATTCTTTTCGACACATGATATTCGAACAATATTCTACCAAATACCATTTGCCGGAAATGATTGTTGAAATCAAATTGACCAGGAAATTTGTTCAGAGTATGAACATCAGTTTTGTAAATAGTGCAAAGACCATAAAAAATCGTAGCACGTCCTTAAGGCTCATAGGGTTTATTGGTAATTTCAAGATTTAAAAAATTAACAACCAAAGGAGTTTGAAATGTGGACAGATTGGATAATGACTAGTGGTAATCTCCTTCAAATTACAAAAAGGGCAACCCTACTTGAAAAAAGCCCCATAGCTGTCGCTATCTTCGGGGTTAGGCCAGTGTTGTGCCAGATTTTGAAAACACAATCTTTGTTAGGATTTGGGACCTCAGCCTTTTTTAGGAATGACCAACATTCGTCACCTAAACATTGGACCACTCTATATTCAAGGCCAATGGAGTGCATCCAAGGTACTTTGTTGCCTTTGTAATGGTGTTAAATGCAGTTGTGCTGCAAAAGGCAAGGCATCTGAGGCTAGGCCGGTTTGTTGCGGACACATAATCAGAATTCAAAATCTGATTTAGTGTTCTGATATCACTTTCCAAATTACCCAGTGATGCGGCATGGACCCCACTAATCAAAATAGAGGGGTCGGTAGCACGAAACATTTCAATAGTTGTAATCCCAGATTTCAAAATATAAGGAAAAGTCTAACTATTTTTAAAAAAATGAATTTGAAAGGGCTAATTTATTGAAAATTGCTGGCGTTATTTTTTCTAATTTTAAACCAATTTGTTTACTAATCGTGCAACATTTTGATAATAGGGGTATGGACAAGAGGTTTATTTGTAGTCAGAATTTGTATAATATTTTGATTATGAAAATCAGAAAATTCCGTACTCTGCATGGTGAATATTTTTTCAATAAAAGTGAGACGAAATGTGCCCCACATAATTTTAGGATGCATCACCCCAAGACCAGCATTCTCAGATAGGGCAGATAGAAGTAATGCCGGATTACCCAACGCTTAATTCTGAATCTGTCGCAATTTATCCACCAAAAGGTCAAAATTTTGCAACATGAAAGCGCTGTCCCCGAACCATATCCCCAAAATCCTTAAACCGTCCGTCCTTACTGGATAATTGAAACTGTAATTTTTGGTTTTCCAGTCACCAAGTAACAGAATTTCAGATTTTGCTCTATTTAACCGTTATGAAGAATAACGGGCATAAAATGTCTCAACCACTTGTCCCTTGTGACCAAGTAAATCGTTGATATCATCAGCGTAAGCTGAGAGTATCATATTACGCGCTCTGGCACTATGTGCTAGGCGCTGAGTCCAGCAACTAAAAGCCTGCAATTGGGTCACCAAGTTTCAAGCCCCTTTGCATGGGTATTTTAGGAGTAAGAGACTTACCAAATGATACCGATTAATACAAATCACTATGTATTGATTTAATGTAATTTATAAATGAAGGTGGAAGCCTGATTTTATGTAAAATTTTGAAAAGATACTCATGACTGACTCTGTCAAAAGCCGCTTCTTGATCTAAACTAAAAATAGTATTTCTTGTCATGATTTCCTACAGAATTTCAAACTGGACAATACTTTGCACCACATCAGGTTTTTCGGTTTTAGTATATTGGTAACGACGACGCTGCAATTCTGGAATAATGGTTTAGGTGATTGTGATTTTGAACAAAATGTTCATGAATGTTTCGGTGGAATTCAAATAAGATAATTTCATACATAATTTAAATCAGCTTACGATTCTTCCCGAGATTATATGTAATGTTAACAATAAATCGGCCCCTTGCTTTATTTTATTGTCATTGAAAATAAATAACAATAAAACAGCAATATTTCATTGCTACCTAACTCCGGTTTGGGAACTGGTTTATAAATCTGTTCAAAAAATCTACTAATAATCCGCATTGTTGTACTGTTGCGAGTCAAGTCATAGACAGATTACTAATTACATCAATTCGTATTGAGTAATTGTAATTTTATTTAATGTGCCATTATTCCAGAGATTACTCAAAAATAAAAAAAACATTGGCCATTAAAACTACACAAGAACGTGCAACACAAAATGTCTACCAAAATATGCATTGACCTTAGATTTTGACGTCTGAATTCCGTTGGAGGTTAACAGGGATGTGTAACAATTAAACTATTAATATTTTTCATTTACTCTTAAGCCTAACATCTTATGCAATCTTAGCTACAGCTTTACTACATACATACAGTATTTCTTTATCCAATCTTAGGCCAATTCATTCTCTTCAAAGCTAGAGCAAGACTGTCCCTCACATTGTCTTTTTCCCTGCTACATAGCCATGGAACTGTATTTAAACCCAAGTACTATCGTATCGTATGCAAAACATAGAGAATATACGTATAAGATCTATATTATAATTTCGAAAAGTCCGTCCCGTAAACTCCCCGTGACATTCCTGCATTATGATTGGCTGTTGGCATTCTAGCTCAACCAATCAGAGAACGGATTCGATTTTTGATTATGCTTCTCATTCCCATTCCCATTCTCATTCCCATTGTCATTCTCATTCTCATTCCGATTCCCATTCCGATTCTCATTCCGATTCCCATTCCGATTCCCATTCCGATTCCCATTCCGATTCCCGTTCCGATTCCCATTCCGATTCTCATTCTCATTCCCATTCTGATTCTTATGAATAGAAGGTGCAACCGCACAAAATTTTTTCGGCAACCTTAAAAATATTCCTTGCAACGTTAAAAAAATCCCTATCCATCTTAAAAATTCCTTAGCAACGTCAAAAAAATTCCCCAGCAACCTTAAAAATTCCTTAGCAAGGTCAAAAAAATTCCCTAGCAGCCTTAAAAAAATTCCTTAGCAACGTCAAAAAAAAATCCCTAGCAACCTTAAAAGATTACTTAGCAAAGTGGAAAAAATTCCCTAGCAACCTTAAAAAATTCTTTAGTGACGTCAAAAAATTCCTTGGAAACGCTAAATAAAGGGCTTAGCAGAAATAATACAAAATGTCAAACAAGCCTAATATTTTATTGTTATGGCCACATTATTTGATTATTACTGCTCTTATTTAACACCGTAAATATAATTTTCATGGAGACCAATCAGTTGTACAACGCTTTAATTTAATTTTGTTACATTACTGTTAAACAAAATGTGGCCCGTCTTTAAGACGGGCTTATTGGCTAGTTATATATATAAAATAGATTAAAAAGGGGTCCGATTGGTGCGATTAAGCAGATATACGAAATTCTGAATGACATTTTACAACAGAAAATTTTGGTAGTTTTTTAATGTTTAACTGAATTCTAAAAACGGGTAACGGGCAACGGGTACCGGTGCGGGTACGGGTAGTTGGGCTGCGGGTAGCGGGCCGGGCAACGGGTAGCATTTTCGCTACCCGCGGCAACCCTAATTCGTACTATCTATTAATTACATTGACTGTGTTAGGAACAGTGTTTCGTGTGGTTAAAACCACACTGGACAGGCCGGTGTCCAAAAGGTGGTTAAAACCATCTTTTGGACACAGATATTTAATGGTCAAAATGGCCAGAAGTGGTCAATAGGTTATATCAATATACAATTAACCACTTGTGGACATTGACCACTTTTAACCATTTTGACCACTTTTGGACACTGACCAGTGGTTTTAACCGGCCAAACAAGGTTTTGGACGTCCAAAAAGAAACACTGGTTAGGAATGTTTAATTGTTTATGACAGGAAGCCTAATCGAAAAACTACGTTGCAACCTAGCCCCATAGTTCTCATGATCAGGAACGATGTGAGTAGGTTAAGTTGACTTCACGCAGCGGATGAGTTTCGTCCTATATATTAGATACATATGTGTGGTAGATCGAGCATAAAGTTCCATTCAATATTAAATGTGTGCACTTTATAAATTGTTGAAGTAATTATTAGAGGTATAGCTATACATTGATGGCTGAGTTTCTCACACTCCATAAACTATAATCTTTCATATTTGAT